GTAAAATCCTTGCGTGCAACCTGCATTTATGTTTCTTATAAAATGTATTTGAAATGGAAATTAAGAAAGGTGTGCATCAGACTTGTATCCTTTCTCCACACCTATGTAATTTTTATGCTGAACAAATTATTTTATTATACTAGTTTATTTACAAAATTCAAATACATTGTTTTCCAGAAGAGATTCTTCCAATTTCCCTTAACCCCCTGAGCGATCAAATGGTACAACTCCATGATTAATCCCCCCACCCCCTGCACAACCTCATCCCTCTGCTTCCACCCCCCACCTCAATTGGATCCTTATACTCATTCTTCAATAATGGTTTTATACAATATTTATACTTGTTGAACTGAGTTGGTTCACTCAGCGTAAAGTTCTCTAGTTCCTCCAAAGTTAAGTAATAATTTACAAAATCATTGCTCCTGTGTGCTGCGTAATATTTCATTGTGTGCATGTACCATAATTTCTCAATTCATTCATTTGTGGTTGGACATCTGGGCTGTCCATGTTCTTGCGATAGTGAATAATGCTGCTATGAACATTGTTGTACAAGTCTCCTTTTGTGCCTCAGTTCTCATTTTTTTCTGGGTATATTCCAAGTAGTGGAATAGCTAGGTCATATGGAATTTCTATGTTCAGCTTTTTAGGGACGTGCCAAACTGCCTTCAAGATTGGTTGTACCATTTTACAATTCCACCAACAATGCATAAGAGTTCTTTTCTCACCACATTCTTGCCAACATTTAATACTTGCTGCCCTGTTAAGCTTTGCCATTGTTACTGGGGTGAGATGGTATCTTCAAGTAGTTTTGATTTGCATCTCTCTTATTGCCAGTGATTTGAAGCACTTCTTCATGTGTCTGTTGGCCTTTCGAATATCTTCCTTTGTGAAAATTCTTTCCATATCTTTCGTTCATTTTCTAATTGGGTCTTATCTTGGAGGCCCAGTAATAGTCTGTAGACTTTTGTTATGAGACACTTGTCTGAGATAATATTACCAAATATTTGTTCCCAGTCGGTAGGTTTTCTTTTCACCCTGTTGGAAAAAGGGTTTGATAGGCCCAGGGATTTCATCTTTAGAACATCCCACTCATAAATTTTATCCTCTTTGGGTTGTGCATTTCTGGCTGTATCTGGCAGTCTGTTTATACCTTGGACTAGCACTGCTAAGCTTGATCCCAGTTTGTCTCTTATGAACTTTATGGTTTGGGGCTTTACTCCCAGGTCTCTAATCTTCCTTGAGTTGATTTTTATATATGGTGTGAGATGTAGATCTTGTCTCAGCTTTCTGCAGGTGGAAGTCCAATTTTGCCAGCATCCTTTGTTGAAAAGGTTGACATTTCCCCATTTGATAAATTTTATTTCCTTGTCAAATATCAGTAGACCATACATAGCTAGGTCTATTTCTGGGTTCTCAATTCTGTTCCATTGGTTTATTTGCCTATCATTGTACGAGTACCTTGCTGTTTTCATTACTACTGCTGTGTAGTAGGTTTTGAGGACAGGGAGTGCTATTATTCCTCCCACTTCATTTTTGGAGAGTTTTGCTTATTCTGGATCTCTTGCCTCTCCAAATAAATTTGACAATTTCCCTTTCAATCTCCTTGAAAAATGAAATTTGGTCGGCTCCATGGTCAACACTCTTGGCACCAGTAGCCAGGAAATAAAAAAACGTATTGCAATGGGAAAGTCTGCTGTTAG